ACATTTGTGCGTGTCTTTTGTAGCGACTTTTTTCCTTCACGTTTCTTGATGCGCATTCGTGTCCTCGAACTGTAGCGGGTATTTTCATGATCGCTGTTGGAATCCAATTTTGACCATGTTCGAGTCCGAATTTGGAAATTTCACATTAGACAGGAATTGTAGCCAGCTGAAATAGCTTTCTAATGCCGCCGGAACCAGTCGATTTGGAGACCGGATGAGAAAGTTATGCTCGACTTCGTGGACACTACCGAAGATGTTGGGGGATCCTCTCTTCTATTTTGATTTTATTTTCCTAATTGCAACCCTTTTCTTACTCTTTGATCATTTTTGCTTCATGGACACCTAATAATCAATTTGTACCTATACAATACTAAATCCCCCAATTAAAACAGAAATATAAATTAATCCATAAAAAAATCCACGTAAACGTAAACGTTGAGTGTTATTTCTACACTCCACTGTATCTTTTGTATCTTGTGTTTTTGCTGTTGTTTGGTTATGCGCATTAAAGTCCTAGTGTTGTACTTCGTGTTTTTAAGAACGTTGTTGCGAATGCACTTTTGCGCATGTTTTTTTACATGTAAGTTTGTGCATGTCCATTTGAGCGAGTGTGTTTGTGCATGTCCATTTGAGCGAGTGTGTTTGTGCATGTTTGTTGATTTGTATTAATGTCCTAGGATTGTAGTTTGTGTTTTCATGATCCTTTTTGCGAATGCAGTTTTGCGTGAGTAATTTTGTGCATGATTTTGTACTTTTAATTTTTTTGCGTGTCTTTTGTAGCGACTTTTTTCCTTCACGTTTCTTGATGCGCATTCGTGTCCTCGAACTGTAGCGGGTATTTTCATGATCGCTGTTGGAATCCAATTTTGACCATGTTCGAGTCCGAATTTGGAAATTTCACATTAGACAGGAATTGTAGCCAGCTGAAATAGCTTTCTAATGCCGCCGGAACCAGTCGATTTGGAGACCGGATGAGAAAGTTATGCTCGACTTCGTGGACACTACCGAAGATGTTGGGGGATCCTCTCTTCTATTTGGATTTTATTTTCCTAATTGCAACCCTTTTCTTACTCTTTGATCATTTTTGCTTCATGGACACCTAATAATCAATTTGTACCTATACAATACTAAATCCACCAATTAAAACAGAAATATAAATTAATCCATAAAAAAATCCACGTAAACGTAAACGTTGAGTGTTATTTCTACACTCCACTGTATCTTTTGTATCTTGTGTTTTTGCTGTTGTTTGGTTATGCGCATTGAAGTCCTAGTGTTGTACTTCGTGTTTTTAAGCACGTTGTTGCGAATGCACTTTTGCGCATGTTTTTTTACATGTAAGTTTGTGCATGTCCATTTGAGCGAGTGTGTTTGTGCATGTCCATTTGAGCGAGTGTGTTTGTGCATGTTTGTTGATTTGTATTAATGTCCTAGGATTGTAGTTTGTGTTTTCATGATCCTTTTTGCGAATGCAGTTTTGCGTGAGTAATTTTGTGCATGATTTTGTACTTTTACATTTGTGCGTGTCTTTTGTAGCGACTTTTTTCCTTCACGTTTCTTGATGCGCATTCGTGTCCTCGAACTGTAGCGGGTATTTTCATGATCGCTGTTGGAATCCAATTTTGACCATGTTCGAGTCCGAATTTGGAAATTTCACATTAGACAGGAATTGTAGCCAGCTGAAATAGCTTTCTAATGCCGCCGGAACCAGTCGATTTGGAGACCGGATGAGAAAGTTATGCTCGACTTCGTGGACACTACCGAAGATGTTGGGGGATCCTCTCTTCTATTTTGATTTTATTTTCCTAATTGCAACTCTTTTCTTACTCTTTGATCATTTTTGCTTCATGGACACCTAATAATCAATTTGTACCTATACAATACTAAATCCACCAATTAAAATAGAAATATAAATTAATCCATAAAAAAATCCACGTAAACGTAAACGTTGAGTGTTATTTCTACACTCCACTGTATCTTTTGTATCTTGTGTTTTTGCTGTTGTTTGGTTATGCGCATTAAAGTCCTAGTGTTGTACTTCGTGTTTTTAAGAACGTTGTTGCGAATGAACTTTTGCGCATTGTTTTTTACATGTACGTTTGTGCATGTCCATTTGCGCCAGTGTGTTTTTGCATGTTTGTTGATTTGTATTAATGTCCTAGGATTGTAGTTTGTGTTTTCATGATCCTTTTTGCGAATGCAGTTTTGCGTGAGTAATTTTGTGCATGATTTTGTACTTTTACTTATGTGCGTATCTTTTGTAGCGAGTGTTTTTGTGCACGTTTTTTGATGCGCATTCATGTCCTCGAACCGTAGCACGTATTTTCATGATCGCTTTTGGAATCCAATTTTGACCATGTTCGAGTCCGAATTTGGAAATTTGACATTAGACAGGATCTGTCGCCAGCTAAAATAGCTTTCTAATGCCGCCGGAACCAGTTGATTTGGAGTCCGGATGAGAAAGTTATGCTCGACTTCGTGGACACTACCGAAGATGTTGAGGGATCCTCTCTTCTAATTTGATTTTATTTTCCTAATTGCAACTCTTTTCTTACTCTTTATCATTTTTGCTTCATGGACACCTAATTATCAATTTGTACCTATAGAATACTAAATCCACCAATTAAAACAGAAATATAAATTAATCCATAAAAAAATCCACGTAAACGTAAACGTTGAGTGTTATTTCTACACTCCACTGTATCTTTTGTATCTTGTGTTTTGGCGGTTGTTTGGTTATGCGTATTAAAGTCCTAGTGTTGTATTTCGTGTTTTTAAGAACGTTGTTGCGAATGCACTTTTGCGCATGTTTTTTTACATGTACGTTTGTGCATGTCCATTTGAGCGAGTGAGTTCTTGCATGTTTGTTAATTTGTATTAATGTCCTAGGATTGTAGTTTGTGTTTTCATGATCCTTTTTGCGAATGCAATTTCGCGTGAGTACTTTTGTGCATGCTTTTGTACTTTTACTTATGTGCGTATCTTTTGTAGCGAGTGTTTTTGTGCACGTTTTTTGATGCGCATTCATGTCCTCGAACCGTAGCACGTATTTTCATGATCGCCTTTGGAATCCAATTTTGACCATGTTCGAGTCCGAATTTGGAAATTTGACATTAGACAGGAATTGTAGCCAGCTAAAATAGCTTTCTAATGCCGCCAGAACCAGTTGATTTGGAGTCCGGATGAGAAAGTTATGCTCGACTTCGTGGACACTACCGAATATGTTGAGGGATCCTCTCTTCTAATTTGATTTTATTTTCCTAATTGCAACTCTTTTCTTACTCTTTATCATTTTTGCTTCATGGACACCTAATTATCCATTTGTACCTATAGAATACTAAATCCACCAATTAAAACAGAAATATAAATTAATCCATAAAAAAATCCACTTAAACGTAAACGTTGAGTGTTATTTCTACACTCCACTGTATCTTTTGTATCTTGTGTTTTTGCGGTTGTTTGGTTATGCGTATTAAAGTCCTAGTGTTGTATTTCGTGTTTTTAAGAACGTTGTTGCGAATGCACTTTTGCGCATGTTTTTTTACATGTACGTTTGTGCATGTCCATTTGAGCGAGTGTGTTCTTGCATGTTTGTTAATTTGTATTAATGTCCTAGGATTGTAGTTTGTGTTTTCATGATCCTTTTTGCGAATGCAATTTCGCGTGAGTACTTTTGTGCATGCTTTTGTACTTTTACTTATGTGCGTATCTTTTGTAGCGAGTGTTTTTGTGCACGTTTTTTGATGCGCATTCATGTCCTCGAACCGTAGCACGTATTTTCATGATCGCTTTTGGAATCCAATTTTGACCATGTTCGAGTCCGAATTTGGAAATTTGACATAAGACAGGAATTGTAGCCAGCTAAAATAGCTTTCTAATGCCGCCGGAACCAGTTGATTTGGCGTCCGGATGAGAAAGTTATGCTCGACTTCGTGGACACTACCGAAGATGTTGAGGGATCCTCTCTTCTAATTTGATTTTATTTTCCTAATTGCAACTCTTTTCTTACTCTTTATCATTTTTGCTTCATGGACACCTAATTATCAATTTGTACCTATAGAATACTAAATCCACCAATTAAAACAGAAATATAAATTAATCCATAAAAAAATCCACGTAAACGTAAACGTTGAGTGTTATTTCTACACTCCACTGTATCTTTTGTATCTTGTGTTTTTGCGGTTGTTTGGTTATGCGTATTTAAAGTCCTAGTGTTGTATTTCGTGTTTTTAAGAACGTTGTTGCGAATGCACTTTTGCGCATGTTTTTTTACATGTACGTTTGTGCATGTCCATTTGAGCGAGTGTGTTCTTGCATGTTTGTTGATTTGTATTAATGTCCTAGGATTGTAGTTTGTGTTTTCATGATCCTTTTTGCGAATGCAATTTCGCGTGAGTACTTTTGTGCATGCTTTTGTACTTTTACTTATGTGCGTATGTAATGCCCAATCATCCGTACATGGCCAATAATAAGCATATTGCATCAATGCATGTAGTTATAATTCATTATTCATGATGCATGATCACGACTACTTGTTACACATGTGCCTTAATTGTGTTTTAATACGTGATCGAATACTTTTCTTAAAATGTGCTGATACATGATACATGTTATTGAACTCCTATTTTATGATTTAACATGAGACTTAAGTGATTTATTGTAGTTAGAAGCTCAGTTTCTCGGTTAAGAAGGGATCAATGTGCTAAACGCTGATATATTTGTCTTAATTGCAGTTCTGCATTTTAATTACATTTTAATATGATTAATTACATATGTAATTACTTGAAGTAACTCATATTAGACTAAAACCAAAAGTATGCAAAAGGGTGCAATTTGATTGGTTGGTTGACTAGGTTGCACAAGACCATTCTAAAATTGTTTACACTTGATTATAATGAGTAAGCATCAGCCCCGTATCTCATGTCAAGCTATAAAAACGTGGAGGAACCACAAGAATCCAGCAAATACAAGCCTTCCAATGACCACCCTCCATTTGGCCTTGTTGGGAATGGGTAGATAAGTGAAGACTTTGAGTTTTGGTCTTCATTTTCACTTGTCTTCTTCCAAAAACGACCAGACCTATTCACTTAAGCTTCTCTTCTTATTTCTTCACTTTCATATTCACATAAGAGAATATCAAACCCTAAGAACTCATAGAAGTATAGCTAGAACAAGTTCTTCACCTTTTCTAGCTGAAAATCCTACGTTTTGAAGTTTGAATTCATCTATAATCAAGGACTCTAGCACAACCTATATGAGACTGATCTTTTCACTTCATAGACCATATTGGACTTGAGGTAAGTTGAAGCTTTCATTTGTTCATCGTAAGAACCTAATTATGTGTGTTTTAATGTGACTTTTGCTATGTGTTCTCCATGATGTTTGAATGATTGTTGAGTCATAGTGATATGAAAGAATATGTTTTGAAAATGGGAGTATGGTACTTGATTGATGGTCGAGTAGGCAAGGGACGCGGGAGGAACCGGCGGACCCAACACATGGTGGCAAATACCTGAGGTCGAAAGACCAGTATGGAAAACCCACAATTAATGAAATGAAATACGGCTAATACCTGAGGTCGAAAGGCCGGTATGGAAACCCCCGTATTATCTATGGCCAAATATGATGAACAGGTTCCAAAAATGAAAGCCTATTGCTATCAGTCAAGTACCACACTTCAAGGGTACCCGATAAAGAGAAGGATTTCAAAGAAAAGGATCATGAATGAAGTTATATGTGATATTGTACTTATTGAATGAATAATGTGTTATGTGATATATCGCTATTACATCAGTTTCAACTTGCTGAGCCATTAGCTCATTAGGTTCTTATGATGCAGGTAATGATGTACATATTTAGAAGTTGACCTAGCCAAAAGCGGCCAGTCAGAGATTTGTTCATATGCCATGCTTCGAGCCATTTTTGTAGCCGAGCTAGAAACTCTGATTTAATTTTGTTAGCCGCTCTATTATGGTTTTTGTACAATGTAATTTTGTAAACATTAAATATTTATATACGTATATGTACAGATTTTGAGAAAGCACAAAGTTTGATTTCTTTTCAAAGCATATAACTTATTTTTGTATTAAAACCATAATATTTAAGTGTATATAAAAAGGTTAGCATCCCTAACTTAATGGTGGTGATCCGATTGGATTCTGCTGTTAGGTTGTGGGGCGTTACATTTTGTGGTATCAGAGCGGAGGTTTAAAATCTTTTCTGAAGACAGAAGAAGGCATATGAACATACTTTGGCTGGGAAGCTTGGTTAACTCTATTCTTATTTACCTATGTGTTTGATTATCTTAACATATGTATGCCATTGTCATGATTGTGCATTAGTATTGGCTAATGAATGGGATGAGATTCGGCAATGTATAGGATGTAATGGCACCAAAAAGGAAGACAGGGAATGTTGACCACGAGGGTGACTACAACTTAGTTGATAATTTAGCTGGTTTGATTCAGCAACAGTCTAGAATGCATGGCGAACAGATACAAAAAATGTTCGATATGCAACAGCGAACCCATGAACAAAACCAACAACCTCCTCCCCAAGCTAGACACGATAACTCTCTTACCGTGTATGAGAAATTTCGTAAAATGGAACCGGTTGATTTCTATGGTGGGTCTGATCCTATGGTTGCAGAAGAATGGGTTAAATCTCTAGATGTCATCTTTGACTACATGCGTATCGAAGATTCCGAGAAAGTACTTTGTGCCATTTTCCTATTGAAGAAAGAAGCTAGAACTTGGTGGGAGGGTACAAAACTTGCAGTGGATATGGAGAAGTTGACATGGGAGGCATTCAAAACAATCTTTTATGACAATTATTTCACGAGGGATGTCCGGTCACTCAAAGTAAAAGAGTTCTTAGAATTGAAGCAGAATGAAATGTCCGTATGTGACTACGTGCGAAAATTCGAGGAGGGTTGCAAGTATGTACCTTACATAGCTAAAGATAACAAAGAAAAGATGGATCACTTCATGAGAGGCCTCAACCCAGTTATTAGAAAAGATGTAAGGATCTCTTCTCCAAACGAGTTTCGACAAGTGGTGGACAACGCATTGATGGCTGACTTTGATGAGAAGGAAATTCAGAAATTTCATCAACAGAAGAGGCAAACTTTTACTCCAAGAACTCAATCTCAATGGAAGAAACCAGAGCAAAAATCAGGCCAAGTAAATGAGAAGCGCCCTAGAGTTGTACAAAGTTCTACTACAGTTGATAAGCCCAAGTGTGCCACATGTGGGAAGAATCATTTTGGAGAATGCTATAGCGGTTTAAATCGTTGCTTCAGGTGTAAGAAGCCAGGGCATATTGCAAGGGATTGTCGCACCCCACCAGTCCAAGTTCAAGCGAGAGTGTATGCAATGACTAAAGAACAAGCTGATGTAGATGCATCCGTTGTCTCAGGTACTATTTTAATTTTAGGAACTCCAGCACTTGCATTAATAGACTCAGGATCTACTCATTCATTTGCATCACATTCATTGGTGAGGAGATTGGGCATTATACCAGATACGTTGGATGTGATGTACAATGTGACGACTCCATCAGGGGAAGAGATGAATTCCAACCAAATGTTGAAACATTGTTCTATTCAGATTAGTGGTAGAACACTTTGTGCGGATCTTGTTGTTTTACCTGTCGCAAATTTTGAGACTATTTTGGGCATGGATTGGCTTACAAAATATTATGCAACCATTAATTGTAATCGGAAGGTTGTCATCTTCCAACCACCTGGTGAAGAACATTTCGAGTTCGGCGGTCATTCACTTTCATCTTCAATACCATTTATAGCTGCATTGAAGGCTCAAAAGATGATGAGTAAGGGTTGTGTTGGATACTTGGTTAATGTTATGGACACTTCAGTACGAACACAATTGAAACCCCAAGATGTGGATGTGGTTGATCAATTTCTTGAGGTATTCCCAGATGACTTGCCAGGACTGCCACCGGATCGTGAAATTGAATTTGTTATTGATACGTTGCCTGGAAGTACTCCTATTTCTAAAGCTCCATACAGAATGGCACCAACAGAACTAAAAGAGTTGAAGATTCAACTACAAGACTTGTTGCATAAAGGTCTTATTCGGCCGAGTTATTCTCCGTGGGGAGCACCGGTTTTCTTTGTGAAAAAGAAAGATGGTACGTTACGTTTATGCATCGATTATAGAGAACTGAACAAACTTACAATCAAGAACAAATATCCACTACCCAGAATAGATGATTTGTTTGATCAATTGCAAGGAGCATCAATATTTTCGAAGATCGATTTACGCTCCGGGTATCATCAATTGAAAATAAAGGAGGATGACATACAAAAGACTGCATTTAGAACAAGGTATGGACACTATGAATTCCTAGTCATGCCCTTTGGCTTAACAAATGCCCCTGCAGCTTTTATGGATTTGATGAATAGGGTGTTCAAAGAGTTCCTCGACAAATTTGTGATTGTGTTCATTGATGATATCTTGATCTATTCCCATGATAAAGACGAACATAGAGAACATTTGAGAGTGGTGTTGCAAATATTGAAAGAACGGCAACTATATGCTAAATTTAAGAAGTGCGAGTTTTGGCTTGATCAAGTTGTATTCCTAGGGCATGTCGTGTCCAAGAATGGTATTTCTGTCGATCCGAGTAAGATAGAAGCTGTCAAAAAATGGCCAACACCAACAACTGTATCAGAGGTTAGAAGTTTCTTAGGATTGGAAGGATATTATCGAAGATTTGTTCAGGGATTTTCGAAGATAGCAACTCCATTAACAATGCTTACACGAAAGAACGTGAAGTATGTATGGACTGATGCATGTGAAAGTAGCTTTCAAGAGTTGAAACGGAGATTGACTACAGCTCCTGTTCTTGTCATTCCTTCTGGAACAGGTGGATTCGTAGTGTATAGTGATGCTTCAAAAAAATGGATTGGGTGTTGTATTGATGCAACATGGGAATGTTATCGCCTATGCTTCAAGACAATTGAAGGAGTATGAGAAGAATTACCCAACTCATGATTTAGAGCTTGCTGCCGTTGTGTTTGCCTTGAAAATTTGGAGGCATTACCTATATGGTGAGAAATGTGAGATTTACACGGATCACAAGAGCTTGAAGTACTTCTTCACTCAGAAAGAATTGAATATGAGACAACGAAGATGGTTAGAACTTGTGAAGGATTATGACTGTGTGATTAACTATCATCCTGGTAAAGCTAATGTAGTTGCAGATGCATTGAGTCGAAAATCTATGTCTTCCTTCCTTGTTATGCAGAAACCAATACTACTGGATTTACAAAGATTAGAGCTTGAAATTGTACCTAAAGGGACGGTTAGTTCTTTATCATCTTTAGTATTAAAACCCGTATTGCATGACCGAATCAAAGAGGCTCAGAAAGTGGATAAGTATTTGTCCAGGTTGCGAAGTATGATTGATGCTAAGAAGAGGCCGAACTTCTCTATTGGTAACGATGAAATAATTAGATATAAAGGCAGATTGTGTGTTCCTTTTGATGCTAACATAAAGGGCGACATTTTGGAAGAAGCTCATAGAAGTCCTTACTCAGTGCACCCGGGCAGCACAAAAATGTACAAAGACTTACAACTACACTACTGGTGGCCTAACATGAAGAAAGATATAGCAAAGTTTGTGGCTGAATGCCTCACTTGTCAACAAGTTAAAATGGAACATCAAAGACCAGCAGGACTATTGAAACCTTTACTGATTCCAGAGTGGAAATGGGAGCATATTACAATGGATTTTGTGCTTGGATTGCCTAGAACACAAAGGGGATACAATTCCATATGGGTGGTTGTTGATAGACTAACTAAATCAGCCCATTTTCTTCCAGTGAAGTCCGCATTCAACATGGAGCAATATGCACACACTACAAGAAAAGGGCCTTTTGACAACACGCGATACGTATTGTTAAACTATATAGACAACACGCGCGTGAATGTTGTAGACCAACATGTTGTTAAAGCATAAGGGATTTAACAACTTGTGCTGCGTGTTGTGGTTCGTAATGTAACAACCTGCGCGTTATGTTGTGATAAGCTAATCACAACATGTATAAGTATGTTGTAACAGACCTTATAACAAGGCACTGTGGCATCTTGTGGTAGAGTTTCGACAACATTTGTTTGCACCTTGTTAAATAATTTATTATCAGAAAAAAAAATATAATCGTAATCATGTACAGAGAAGTCTGATTTCGAATACATTTCAATCCAATATACACAAAAATCCTTTAAATAAAAAACTATCCAACAATTCTATACTTGCATAGTCAACAATGCACAAACTCCTTCAAATTACACAGTAATAGACGTTCAACAATTTTGAGAAACGTTCTAAAAAATAAATAGAATACTTATTGATTGTCAGAAAAACAAAATACAAGACTTTATATAGTCACAAAATCATCCACATTTTAATCAAGTCAAAACGGAATTGCCCAAAACGTAGTACGAGATATAAGGCTAAACTAATTCATTACCGTCAAACTTGCGGTATCCTCTCCCCTCCATGCATAAAAGTTTTTCTGCATCAATAAACATACTTTAACTATCAACACCAGGACAAAAATGAACCAACATAAAAATACAATAACATGTAAGTTTATGGAAATCACCTTTTCTTTGAATACTAATCCACTGATTAATATATAATTAAAAGTGTATTTATTTACTTCAAGAAGGTATGTTCAAGAAAAATAAAAGATGCATAATGTTTTACCGTAATCGAAAATACAATATCTTGTAGAATTATTAGATCTTCACCCTAGTCCACTGCAAAAGAGAATGAAACACAAGCCATACTGTTAATAAACATAAATATCAGCTATATCAACAACATAACAATACATCAAATCAATTTATATGTTCCCAAAATATAAACCAAATTGACTGCACTGCTCAACATTAATTACGATACAAGTGTTAGCATATTTTTAGTCGCCAGAAAAAAATGTAGTTCTTGGGTCGGATGCAAAATATGTTGGTGCCGTAAAAACCCACAAATTCACAAGTGATACTTCAATTAATTAGTAACATAATTAGAGCCCAAAAGCCTACGCGACATAGCATTGGTTTACTGGTGCTCCTTGAGAAACTTATCAAATTCATAGTCACAAAACTTCAACTTATTAAGCAGACAAAGCGAAAATTATGCGTTGAATCTAGGAAGCTAAGTGCTTACCCAACTAGTGAATATATGCTCATAGGGAAGACGTTAAGACATGGAAATAATTGAAGCGGAAGAACCTAGTGACTCCATTTGCATCACCTACAAAAAACACATTCACTTATAATTTGTACAAGGTATTACCCACCTAGGTAAAATTCAAAGCTCTAAACACTCAAGCTATAAGCTGCTTTGTGAAACAAGTCAATACAAGAAAACAATGAAACCTTCAATCAAAACAAGGGAATAAGAATAAACAGAATACATACAATGTAAATGAAATTAAGAACATAAAGAAATAAAATTATAAACACAGCATAAGAAACTATAGTATTCACCTTAACAATAGAAACAAAAGTTAGAAGGGCTGGAACATGTAAACCAAATTTCGGGGTTAAGTAACTTTAAAAGTATTACCCTAAACCTGCACTAAAAATCGAACCAGCAAAACAAAACACATTCATAAATAAATTGGAGAAAAACAAAAATATCAAAAGGCCCCTTGTCCTCGGCCACATGAAGCACTTTTAAATGCCATAGAAACAAGTAAAGTTTGGTACTCTGCGATTAAAGGATACAAAGAAATAAGATTATATATAACTAAGAACCAGAAATAAATTTCAAAACGCGAAATTGTATAACTTTTCAATTTAATTTTGAGAACAAATCTCAATTTAGGGCATTTGAGGAAAAATCCTAACAATCAATTTAAGAAGGGGATAGAGAAAATAGAGAAAAAAGACAGCGAAAAAAAAAGAGTTGGAGCGAGAGCAACAGAAAACTTACTTTAACTGATACGACGATCTGCCAGGCGGAACGAGAGCGAGAGCAGGGGAGAGGACGAGTATTTGCTGAAAGAAGGGGAAATAAAAGAGTAAATAAATTTTATTTTTATAAATTATTATAAACAATAAAAAAATAAAATCATACTTCTGCCAAATTTTACAAGCGGCAAATCTCCCTCCTCTATTGGAATGGAAATTGCCTTAAAACTGTACTTATTTTATTCTATTAAATTATGTTTTTTCTAGAATCTTAAATTGCACTATTTGACAACATGCCTATGTACATTGTTATATTTAATTTATTTTACAACGTAATTAACTATATTGTCATAATTAATGTATTCTACAATATTCTTAAGAATGTTGTAGTATATAAATTAAAACATGTAACATTTACAAGATACTTACGCATCTTGTAGTATGTGATGTTAACAACATGCAAAAGATGTATGTTGTGATATATAATATTTTGAGACTAACAACAACATACGTTTCAAGCATCTTGTAAAATATGTCATACAACAACATGCTTTTACAGCACGTTGTTAAATTCAAGTTGTTGAAAATCAT